CCTATCAAAGGAGAAGTAAGACGCCTCCTTTCCTCCGCTAGTCTACGGGACACCCTTGGGCAAGGTGGAGTACCCGTTTAGCCCCCCAATCAGGGTTACGTGAAGCCATGGAAGCAGGTTGTGGATGGAGTGTAAGAGCAGCCGACAGGTATTGTTGGTTATGGTCTGCACTCTGCGGCGATAGGCAGATGATCTCATCAGTAGAGACAATGGCTATGGCCACCGACTAGTATAGTCACTGCTCAGGAGGAAAGCAACGGCAAACTACCTTCTGCAAATTTTGCCAAGAATCCATAACAATCATGATAGAAAACATAACACAGAAGAGATCTGGTGGCGAGACCCCCAGGCCAGGCAGATCAGATAACACTGGGGAAGAGTGTGATACAGGGGTCAGTACTAGTAATCGTGATGACGGAGTTAATCCTGACTGTGTTACCAAGGAAATCCACTGTGTCAGACTAAGAAACAGAATGCGAATAGGAACGTGGAATGTGAGAAGTCTGTATGAAGGAAAGCTTAAAGTAGTATGTGATGAGATTGAATGATTAAATATTCAGATCTTAGGAATTTGTGAACATCGTTGGAGTGGCAAGGGACATTTTATCAATGAATATGGAAGCTTTTTCATATATTCTGGTAGAGATGTAAGAGGCCAGAGCGGAGTGGCATTTTGTTTAGATAAAACAACAGCAAAAGCTATTATGGGATATAATCCAGTTAGTGATAGAATCCTAACTATCAGACTTAAAGGCCGTCCAAAAAACATAACTTTCATGCAGGTATATGCACCAACTTCAACAGCAGAGGAGGGCGAAATTGAAGATTTTTATGCCATACTGCAAGACACATTAAATAAAATTAATCAGAATGATATAATAATAATAATGGGAGATTTTAATGCTAAAGTAGGTACAGGCAGAGCTGAAAATGAGAGACACGTTTTAGGAAAATTTGGATTGGGTAATAGAAATGAAACAGGAGAAAAATTGATTGAATTTTGCATAGAAAATGAATTAACAATAGCTAACACACTTTATAAACAACACCCTAGAAGGCTTTTCACATGGACATCCCCTGACGGTGTTACCAAAAATCAGATAGATTACATTTTAATACAAAGAAGATGGAGATCGAGCATAACATCTGCAAAAACCCTGCGAAGTGCAGATTGCGATACAGATCATCAGTTACTAGAAGCAGATCTGAAATTAAAACTCAAAAAGCTTACCCGAGGACCAAGGCCATTTCGATTTGATCTCACAAAAATACCAGATGCATACAACGTAGAAGTGAAGAACCGTTTTGAGGTCTTGATGTCTGTACAAGAGGAAATGACACCTGATGAACTGGCGGTACAAGCTAGGGATATCTTGATAACAGCAGCTAAAGACCTAATACCCACCAAGACTAAGCAACATAAACCATGGATCACACCATACACGTTAGAACTAATAAAACTACGAAGGGAACTGAAAAAGAAAGAAGAAACCAATGACAGTAGGATGAAGTATAAATTTTTAACACGAGAAATAAGAAAGTACACAAGAAAGGATAAAAATCAGTATGTACAAGATTGCTGTATTAAAATAGAGCAGCATCATAAAAATGGAAGAGATTACGAAATGTTCAAGGAAATGAAGTTATTGACAAGAAATTTTCAACCTCAGTTAATGTTATTTGTGACAAGTTGGGAAATACTTTAACAGAATCTAGACAAATTCTAGGAAGATGGCAGGAATACTGCAGCGGAATGTATGATATGAATGACAGTGAGGATATGAATGATATACATGAACCAGTAACAGTAGAGGCAGAACCTGAACCTTCATTAGATGAAATTTCATGGGCAATAAGGAGCCTGAAAAATGGTAAATCACCTGGATGTGATGAGATACCAGCTGAATTGATTAAAGCGGGAGGAGAAGAAAGCACAAAAAATCTATCATGCATTATGTGAAAAGATATGGAAATATGGTATTTGGCCAAAAGACTGGAAGAGAACTATCTTCATTCCAATACCAAAAAAGGGTGACCTGAAATTATGTACAAACTATCGAACTATTGCCCTGATCAGTCATGCAAGTAAAATTCTACTAAAAATTATAATGAGAAGACTGCATAAGAAAATGGAAGAAGAGATTAATGTAGCTCAGGCTGGATTTAGACAGGGAAGAGGAACAAGAGATCATATATTCAACATGCGTTTAATAATAGAGAAGTGTAGAGAATTTAATGTAAATCTGTTCTTATGTTTTGTGGATTATTCAAAAGCATTTGACTGTGTACAACATCAGAAGCTTTGGGAAATCATGAGGAATATGGGCTTTCCATCACATATAGTGCAGCTCATTAAAATGCTCTATCAAGACCAACAAGCAGCAGTCAGAATAGATGGAGAGACATCAGACTGGTTTGGCATCAAGCAAGGAGTCCGTCAGGGATGTGTGCTGTCACCGTATTTGTTCAACCTGTACGCCGAAAATATAATGAGAAATGTAAGAGATGATATAAACAAGGAACAATATGATGCCCTAAACATCGGTGGTCATGAAATACCAGAAATTCGTTATGCTGATGATACAGTATTACTATCAACATCACAAAATGGTTTAGAAAACTTATTAACCTCACTCCAAAGAAATAGTGAAAATCATAACTTATTTCTTAACACAGCAAAAACAAAGATAATGCATACAAACAAAACTGCCATGGAGAAGGAAATATATTTTAATGAGGAAAGATTGGAAGTGGTGGAAAATTTCGAATATCTTGGGTCACTGGTTACCAACAATGGTGACACAATGAAAGAAATTAAACGGCGACTATCAATTGCTCTTCAAAGACTAAAACAACTGAATAAATTATGGAATTGTACAGATAGAATTACAAAGGTCAGATTTTTAAGAGCATGCATCTTTCCCATTGCAACATACGCCTGTGAGACCTGGACACTTACTAAACAAGCGGAACAGCGCATAAATGCATTTGAATACAAATGTTACAGACAGGTTCTAAGAATATCTTGGGTAAAGAAAAGAACAAATGCATCCATACTTCAAGAGCTGAATATTGAAGAGGGTTGGCTAGTAAAGACAATAAAACAAAGAAAATTGAAATATTTTGGTCACTTGAAACGTCATGGAAGTCTAGAGAGAACAATAATGGAGGGGTACATGCCTGGGAAGAGAGGAAGAGGAAGGCCAAGGAGAAGATGGGTGCAGGATGTGGCAGATGATCTCCAGATGGGTGTATCAGACGCAGGACATCTTGCTCATGATAGGAAGGTTTTCCGGAGGGTTGTTATGGCAGCGAGGTTCCGCGAGGGACATGCTACTGAATGAATGAATGAATATGCTATCACTGTATTAAAACTAATTGTGTTGCTAACATTCTTCTATCTTTAATTGCAGCTGTGTGTGACCAAAGATCAGCTCTTGCTGCACCAGCTGGATTTTTCAGACTCCAGTGTGCTGAAAGTTCATTTGGGACCCTCTTGCACATCCAAGTCAGGTTCTACATCTGTAGCCCTGGGTCCAGTGCACAGTAATCGAGAGGTAATGTGTGCTTTTTTCTTTTGTTATTTAATATATGTCGGCGTCTGTGGCTTAGGCATTGCGAACGCGCTTTGTAATGTCGGGGTGCCGGGTTCGATCCCTGCTGCCTACGATTTGTCGTTCGATGGTTTCAACCTTGGTCCTGAGAGCCGACCGTCCAGAAAGCAGTGGCAAACTACAGGAGGTATATTTGCCTAGAAAAACCACACCTGCCAGATAGTGCTGGGGTTGGTTTTGCAAAGTCCTGTAAATTGATTTATTATATTCTTTGATCTGCTGCTTCTTCTGTAACTGTTCTTTTGAGTTAACGAAATACATTTGGTTTTGTGTGTGTGAACTTTCAGTGAGTATGGGACAGAGAAAATAGTTTCTCAGAAAAATATTTGATTTCCTCTGTCACGCCAAGAAATATTTGGAAATAGATTTGACAGATTTAAGTCCATGTGCGGGTGTTCAAAACATCAAATTTGGGGTCAGGTCGACAATTTTTGGAAAAGTTCGTATTTTACACACCTTAGTCTGTCTTCTGTCAGATTTAGTATTTGTTTTTGTGTATGTTATTTTAATGCAATATTAATATTTTACTGAGCTAACTAAACCCTAGCTGTGAATCTATTTGTTTATTGAAATTTGTTAACGAAATTAGCGATGTTTCGTCCTTGGCAACGTTATATGCGCAAGGAGATAACTGTATGTATTATATATCGTTGAAACTGGAATTATGTCCCCTACACTTTTCGGCGGAAATCGCGATTGTGGAATTTTACGTTTTCCATTCACGGCAGATTCACTGACCCCTATAACTGTCCGGAAATTTCCATATTTTGGTGTAAACAAGATCTCATCACGACGACCGAATCCCGCTGGCTAAAACTGATCACGCGGGTGTCCGATTTTCAAAGATGGCTGCTGGAGTTGATTGTTTACTCAGAAATGGCATGACAGCTGTAAATCGAAATCGGCAAATGCACAGACACTGACAAACGCACGTACGCAAACAGACACACACACACACACATATAGACACACACACAGTGACATACACAAAACTAACACAATCACACACACAGTAACATACGCAGACACACACACAGAGAAACATGCACTTGCAGACATTATCAAATAGACACACACACACAGATACACACAAACACACACAGAGACACATGCACTTGCAGACATGATCAGATAGACACACACATAGATACGCATGAAGCCACACACACAGACACACACAGATAAACATGAAGCCACACACAAGCATAGACACACAGACAGCCACACCCGCAGATACCTACAGAGAGAGAGAGAGAGAGAGACTGTTTGCTGATACCTACTTGTACTGGTCCTTTTCCAGAGCACAAACAAGGACCAGGGGGAATCTGCAGAAGGTGGAAGTTCCCAGTCTTCAACATTACCAAAGCCAGTAACAACAGCATCAAGTGGCTTTAGCAAAGAGGTATTATTTAACCAGTTTTTTTTAAAAATAATGGTAACATTTTGGCAGCTATTTTATTACCTTCTGTTGTATTGCATTGAACATAATTTTTTAATGCCGAGATGCTGTCACCCACTGGTAAGGTGGTCTTGCACATGCTGTTTACAGAATGCATTGATGGCCCCTTTTACTGTATAACAGATAACGACATTCTAACTGACATATTGTATGAGAAATTCTGTTATCTCTTATTATCTCTGATATCTCTTTCGGGGTCTCTGTGACGAAGTGGTCAAGCCGTTTGCCTTGCGCTCTGAAGGTCGTGGATTCGTTTCACGGCGGTGCCGTTCAGTTCACGAGTGCAATTTTTACAGAGATTTCTGGGAATCATTGCCTGAGCTACGGAGGTCGTGCTGTGTGTAACGCTCTCAGCAGGCAGCGAACTGTTCTATAGAGAGAGACTCACCATATGGGATAAAACCCAGTGCAATGAAGTCGGTTCTGTCACCTTTACCTGGTTTAAGTAACGAAGTCCGGCCCAGGCAGTCTTAACCTTCGAGACGCTTTAGTCTAAGTTACAAGGAGAGTCAGGTTGTATTCTGCTATGTATTTGCCGGCAGACGGACAGGTACACATTGCGTTTTGCTCGCTGTTCTGAGCGATTGGGTGTTGACTGTGGTGTTGTCAGACTTCAATTACGAAATGAATTTACCTCAGTTGTCAGCACTGACGGCCGACAAGGAGAGGAGCGTTGCTTTTCTGTTATAGCATGGCATTCTGCTACTGGTTATGTATGTATATATAACTCCCCCCACCCCCCAACAAATATGCAGATGGCAAAAGTGTATATATGCACATTGATTTTATTACAAAACCATGTTACTACTGCCTGTGTTTACCACTTAATAGGGTAGTGCAGGACAAGTGTGTCTGGGACCTCAGAATTTTAAAGCAGCATGGTGGCTAGTGCACTTGACATAGATTGCGTAGGAAAGGGGAGGGAGGGCAGAACACCTGTGAAGTTTGGCAAAGGGAATACAGGAAGCAGCTAAAGGTTTCAACCAAAGCCTTTAAATAAACACACATGTTTAGACATTTGAGACTGTGTCAAATTATGTAAATTTTTATTCTTTATTTAATGTTGTTTATAAATGTCTGTATAATAACTTTGTGTATTGAATTATGAGGAATTTTCTTTTATGCTGATCGTTTGTCTTCCCTCCTTTTCCCAACCGCTTCTTTTTTCTTATTACATCGCGGAACCAGGATTCAGAGAAAGGGGTGAGTAAAATATTTGCCAGACACATGTTCTGTGTTTATGGTAACCTTCTTTCTGGTTGGTTGAAAATTTTATGGAGTAATAAATAGATATGGAAAGCTCAACGCTGTAGTATGTTGTAATCTGTTGTGTTGTTGAAAGTTATAGGGGCAGTGCAGATTCAAACCGGTTGAAGCTGTTGGGAATTCCAGTCTACTGGCTAAATTTATTGGGACAGTGTAGATTCCGGTCTACTGGTTAAAGTTATTGGGACAGTATAGGTTCCAGTCTACTGGTTAAAGTTATTGGGACAGTGCACGTTCCAGTCTACTGGTTAAAGTTATTGGGACAGTGCAGGTTCCAGTCTACTGATTAAAGTTATTGGGATAGTGTAGGTTCCAGTCTACTGGTTACAGTTATTGGGACAGTGCAGGCTTCAGTCTACTGGTTAAAGTTATTGGGACAGTGCAGGCTTCAGTCTACTGGTTAAAGTTATTGGGGCAGTGTATGTTCCAATCTACTGGTTTAAGTTTTTGGGTTAGTGTAGGTTCCAGTCTATTGGTTAAAGTTATTGGGACAATGTAGGTTCCAGTCTACTGATAAAGTCACTAGGACAATGCAGATTCAGTCTACTGGTTAAAGTCACTTTTTAAAGTCACTGGGACAAATGCAGATTTCAGTCCTCCATTTATAACCATCAGAACACTTTCATTGTACCTGTTAAAGCCATCAGGATAATGCAGTCTCAACAGCTGGTTAAAATCATTTAAATAATGCTGGTTCAATTGTACCAGTTAAAGCTATGATAACGGTACAAATTCCAGTGTATCAATCAGTTAAAGCCAGCAAGACAGTGCAGGGTCTGGTCTGCTGTATAGTTTCTGGTATACTGGATAACACCATTTAGACAGTCAGGATTGCTGTCTGCTGTCATGTAGTTGTGTTTTTAGTGTAATAATGGTTTTGTTGTTTCTCAGGCAGTAAGCACGACCTCCAAGCAGAACTATGACATTGAACAGGTTAGTATGAGAGTTGCATTTAGTATATACAATTGTCAGTTTTTGATTAACCCTACAGGCCATTGAAATAGCATGAAAGATGGATTCACATGTATTGATTGACACTTATAGAGTTCATCTTCTTTTCTTTTCTTTTGTCAATATGTTTTGTACCACAAGGTATCACAGTTTAACAGATGGTAGGTAGTCAAACCAGGATACACTTGGTCTCTTGCTATGTTGTAATGTTGTGAAGACTTAGACTGTTGTTGACTTCATCAATCCATCTTCTAGTTCCTCCTCTGCCCTTTGATGTTTCTATTTTCATGTTAAAACGTTTTTGCTACCAGCATCATTGAATTTGTTCTCACTAGGTGGCCAAACCATTAAAGTCTTTGTTTTTCAATAAATGTAATGGTGTGTATTGTTTCAGTAGTTCTTTTTATAATCTCTTCTGGTTTTGTTCACAGCCTTTCTCAAACGTCTGATTTCACAGGTCATTTCATTTATAGAATTAGCTGAAAAAATAGATTAGACCACATGCCAGACTGTTGAAATCTTTAGTACTTGTGTTCCTACAATAAAATGCTGACATCCTCTAAAGGTGGCTGATTAAAGCTATTGAGAAAAAGCAGATTCTAGTCTGTTAGTTAAATCCATCAGGAAAATCAAGATTCCAATCTGTTAGTTAAATCCAACAGGAAAATCAAGATTCCAGTCTGTTAAATCCAACAGGAAAATCACGATTCCAGTCTGTTAGTTAAATCCATCAAGAAAATCAAAATTCCAGTCTGTTAGTTAAATCCATCAAGAAAATCCAAATTCCAGTGTGTTAGTTAAATCCATCTAAAAAATCAAAATTCCAGTCTGTTAGTTAAATCCGTCAAGAAAATCAAAATTCCAGTCTTTTAGCTTAATTTTTGCTGATTACACAAATCCTAGTCTAAAGGTTAAATCCATCTAGAAAATGATTATGTCCTGTTATCCTCTGTTTCTGTCCTTTACTTACATATGTTGTAACTAACAGCTGTAATTTCTTCTTTTCTTCCTCCTCCTTCTCCTTCTTCACAGTCACTAGCTGTAAACTCTGGTGGAACGTTCTGATTGTTTGTCCATTTCTGGACTTGTAACAGAACTTGAGTTTTCCATGCACCTCCATTTTAAATTTCTGGCTGATTTGTATGCAGACTGTTGGTTCTATGCGTATGCACTCCAACTTTGATGGAAACACGCCTTATGAGTCACCTTGTATGACATGCTTGTTTGTGGGGGGGGGGGGGGGGGGGGGGGGGGTGGATGCTGTGGGTCTTTTCTCCTGCCCAAAAATGTGACCCAGAAACCCACATAATGAAGCTGTAAGTGTATTTCTTGGGCTACATAAGATTTATAGTATTATGACTCATTCTTTACCAAATGAACGCTCAGTGTGTTTATAGTTACTTCTGTTTACGATACAGGAAGCTGCTTATCATAGTGGCTAGCAGGTTTGATTACCAGACTGACGGTGATGTGTTCTCAACTCCATAGCTCCATAAAAAAAAAAATGAAACGATGCTGTAAATTTATTCTTCCTAAAGTCCATGCTTTGTGGCGTTAGTAGTCATGACTGTCCACAACCCTCTGTCTCGTGTACTTTCAGTCAACTCTGACAAAGATGATCTTTCATGCGATGATGTCAGACTATCTAGCATCTTTTTTGTCGGTCTCTCTCTGCCTCTCCTCCCTTCCAACTTTCCTGCTGTCATAATGTACTCCAGTTTTATCCTTCTCATGACATGGCCAGAGAATGTAGTTTGTTACTTTCTGATGTGGGCAATCAGTTCTCTTTGTGAGTCGGTTTCTTTCAAGACATCCTTATTAGTCTTTTTTTTATCTGTCCAGGGTTATACTCATAATTTGTTTATAAAACCCATACTCCGCAGCTTCCAAATAGTTTTTCACTAATCTACCAACTGACCATGATTCACTTCCATTTATCAAGATAGGATTCATGTAGCCTTTATGAATTCTCTTTCTCATCTCAGTTGACAAAGAAAGATTACATAAAATATTATTCATTTTGTAAAATGCTTGCATTTGCTTGAGCTATTCGAGATGTAACTTCTTCGTCTTAATTGATTACCAGAGAATGGTCTGGGAAGTAATGGCAGTCTGCAAAATACTGATCACATCACTCCCTAAATACTGACTGGCTAGCACCATGGATCCAGTTCCAGTGAAAAGAGGTCCTTTGTTACACACAGTACTCCTCATAATATGAAAAGTTTAAAAAAAAATTATACCCAGTACTTCTCTTAGTATGAAAAGGGGTACTTTTTTTTAAAATACCCAGTACTTCCCATGATATGAAATAAAATAAATGATATAAAATGGTGTCCTTTATAATACCCAGTACTCCTTATAATATGAAAAGGGGTCCTTTATTATACACAGTACTCCTCATAATATGAAAAGGGGCCCTTTATTATACCCAGTACTCCTCGTGATATATAAAGGGGTCCTTTATTATACCCAATACTCTTCATGATGTCAAAAGGTGTCCTTTATTATACCCAATGCTCTTCATGATGTGAAAAGAAGTACCCAGTACTTCCTATGATATAAAAAGAAGTACCCAGTACTTCCTATGATATAAAAAGAAGTACCCAGTACTTCCTATGATATAAAAAGAAGTACCCAGTACTTCCCATGACGTGAAAAGGTGTCCTTTACTTTATTACTTCATTTCACATTTACAAATTTTTAATGAAGATTGCTGGGATCATAGCTGGAGATATCGAGTTTGTGCTTTGTGCAGTTCTCCCGACAGGTGGCTAGACGTTCTATGGAGAGAGACTGAGCTGTATGCAATAACCCAATACAGTGAAGTGATCCTCTTGACTTAAACTTTAAGGTAAACTATGTTAGAACAGTAATGACACAGCCATAAAAGTGTTTTGATA